TACCCAAGCAAAGAAACCAGAAAGATTTCCAGAAGGAAACCTCATTTGTGGTTCTCAGCAAGAACTTCAGTTTTTAACATGTGCTGTGGTCAGGCTTAGTTAATAACAGCTTGAGAAACGTATGTGATCAGTCTGCTGCTCTGGGCTATTTCTTCTTTATAACCCATGCTGTAAGGCTGGTTCCCTAATCCTCACTTACGCAGTGTAAATAAATGCCACGTTCACATACTTTTTAAACCACTCCCAAGAGCTCTATAAAATTCCCAAATCCATAAATATGTCATCTACTGTCCCATATAGACAGCCCACGCATGCATAAAAATGCCACCTGCCCATAACTAGACAGTTTCAGAGCCTTTCTTGAAGGCATTCCAGGACAGGCAAGCACTCTGAGTCCTCGTTTTTGATCCAATAACGCCACTGCAAAAACAGGTGGGAATTTGGAGGCTGCAGAAGCATCTTTTCCTTCTGTCTTGAGAGAGCTCTAGTGCTGTGGGTGCTCTCAAAACCAGCCTAAGAACATGAAAAAGGGTTTCCTAGAGCCCATTCCTAGGCATAATTAAGGCAGATATGTGGCATTTTTGGTCAGGACTGAGGGCTGCCCTGTTGTTGATGCAGCAGTTTAAGTATTTACAGAGTAGGAGTGAGCCACCTTCATCCTAATAGCCTGACTTTTGGCTGGAAGAATTTGCCAGAACCCCACTGAAATCAGTGGGGTTACACCAGTTTACAGGAAGAGATATTTTGTCTCCTAAGCTTGTGCTTGATGTGCTGCTTTATCACTGCCTGAATAGTGAATCATACTAGGACTTTTCAGGTCTTTTAATAGTGTGGGTTTGTTACTTTCTTTTGAAGGAGAAGTGTGTATTTTCATAATTTAGATTATTTAAATAAGCCCTCCAGAGACAGACTCTGTAAGAATATGATCACCTGATCCCTCATGCTCTCTGTTTAAGAGATGAACCAATGCTGCATATCAGAAATTTCTCCAAAACATAAATATTAGTAAACTTTTATCTGAAAAAATCCCCAGAGTTACTAAGAATAGAATCATAGCTTGGTAAACTTCATACTTTGAATCTTAAACTTTGTGTTTATGCCACAAAATATAACTTACTTCTGAATTCATACAGCATCTCTGGAGAATGGAATACTGGGGAGCTGTGTGGGATTTACCTATAAGAGAAGGAAAATACCAGGGATGAATTCAGCAGGCGTGTTTAATATCTTCTTCAGAGCTTGCTTTCACAGCTGAAGGGCTCTCTTTTAGCCATGGCCACGCTGAATTGTCTTACACCATTAGCTTCATTCATGTAATTTTGTCTGGGTTTGCTAGTTTAACAGGGGCTTCCGATTTTTATCTTGGGGATATTTTGTTCAAAATATATTTTCAAAGCCTTTGTTCATGTGCTAATATTCTGTGGTGTGGAACTCAGCCTGTTTTGTTGGCAGAGTTCTAAATTCCTGCGAAGAAAATGAAAATACTGAGATGAGTCCTGCTGACATGAAGGTGCTTCTCCAAAGCATCTACACTTACATGAATTCTCGGCCTTCAATATCTGCAAGAATGAGAAAGAAACATTAAAGAGGAAAAGTAAAAATAATAGTTTCCATTAGACTTATTTGCACTGCTGTGTGTCAGGAAGACTTACCTTACAGCCCAGACTAGGAAAGTCCCCAAACCCCACTTCTTAGCCATTACTGTTCTATAATTCAGTTTTATGATGATGGGCTCTCCCCAGTGTCCCTTTGCTTGCCGTCTCTTTTGATAACTTGGTCCTCAGACCACTGTGTGTATACACATAATCCCAGAGGCTGTCTGCATGTGTTTCTCCTTTGGAAGAGAGAAACATGACAAATTCTGTATCACTTGGAGCAGGCCTGCAAGAGGTGAGCAGCATGTCAGGGAGATGACCTACAGGAGACCGCAGAGAACTAAGCATCTGGCAAATATCATGAACATATTACCTCAGAAGAAGTTTCAGCATTTCCTTTTCTTCTTGTTTTCCTCTCTTATTTAGCAGAAGAAATCAGTCCCTCCTGTTATTTTAAAAGCTAGGCAGGAATCTACTTGTTTTCCCTTTCCTTTTAAGTATCTCATGTAGTAAGCTGCCCAGTTGTTTAATCCGTTGCCGCCTCATTGGCTTTAGGATAGCTGTAAGGCTGAGCTTTAGCCCTCTCTGGGTGACCTCCCAGGAGGGAACACCTTGCCCCAGAGGTGATCCCTCTGACAGCCCTGAGCTGCTTGCAAAGTATGATACCACTCACAAGCAGCAAAGGGAGTAAAAACCTGACTGATCTGGTGAAGAAGTGCAGATAGATATTAACAAAGTGCTTTTCATCTTAGATAAAAATCTAATTCCTTTCAGACATCAGTAATGGAACAGAAGTCTATCTCTGGTCAGTGATAATATTGACTACAATGATGAGCGGTGAGGGTCTGATATCTTCATGCAAAGTGGTGTCTGTCTGAGGCCACCATCAGATGCAGAGCTTTGAATTAGGTAGACCCCTCTCCTTTTCCCATACCACAATGTTTATATATTTAAATGACTTGGCTGAAACTTGCATGGGTCCTGGAAGATCATGCAGGAAGCTAGAGCTCAGCAGTGGCAGCACAGTGTTTATAAGATTTTCTAAAATGAGAACCCCAGATCACAGCTTTGCTGTGCAGTTTGGCATGGTTTGGAGGGTTAGCCTTGACTTGTGTTTTATTTCTGAGCTTTTTTAGGACTCAGAGGTTTTCAGCTGGGGCAGAAGTGGCAAAACTACATTTTCATGGCACTGGACAATAAAATATATTTATAAGAAATCCTGTCTGCCTTTTAATTTTTTTTAGGACATGCTTTCTCTCCTTTACCAAGAGGGCCCTTCCACCAAGGGTATTTTCAGACGCTCTGGAAGTGCAAAAACCTTCAAAGAGCTCAAGGAGAAGCTTGATTCAGGCTCTGAAGTAGACCTAGCCTGTGAATCCATATTTGTGACAGCATCTTTGTTTAAGGTATGTGAAGAATGTTCCTTTCTCCCTTTTTGGGTGAGAGCAGCACAGATCCCATGCACAAGCAAGTAGGGCTTTTCTCCAGGGATAGGCCTAAAGAGGAATTGGTGGACTGAATTAAGAAGAATGGGCTGGCACAATAATGTTGTGAGAATCTCCAAATGCGTTTACCACTGAATTAGGATGAGGAAAAGGACTAGCCAGCTTGTTTTCCTGCCGGTTTTTCTGAGGTCTCTGTTACAACTTGGTTCTGCTACTCTCTTTATCTCTGCATATGAAATACTAAAAAGGCATGTTTGCAGACCTGTTTCCTTACGTGTCAGTAATACCCTACACTATAAACCCTGGTGAGTTTATAGCGTTACCATAAATATTTGGATTTTTTTTAATGCACTATCTTTTCTTACAATCTTTTATGTAAAACCCAATATTCCTTGTGCAAAAAGGTATCATAGCTTCCCTTACCCTAGCTTGTTTGGAAAGCTATGATTTAGACTTCTTCCTAAGCTGCAACAGTTTCGCTGCCAGTGGTTGAGGTATTAGGAAAGAGGAGTAGTATGACTATTCATGACTAGTTTAAGTACTCCATTACCAAAAGGAATTGATTAGGGGAGATGTCTTGCAGTGCTTATAATCTGGACGTATTTGAGCTTGTCAGCTAAGGAGAAGAAACAGGGTCTATGAATGAAGTTAAGGGATAAGTGAAGACAGACATTATACAACATCAAAATAACTGGTCTCACTGCAGATTTTTTAGTTCAGCAATATCAGATGAAGCTTCCAAATACCTCTATTTTGACAGGAAAGGGTAAGGAAAGGGCAAGAAAATATTCACTTTAAGCATAATCTAAAGTACTTCCATATCTCAGATGATTTTCTTCTGGTTTTAGTTGCTGTGTGTAACAATATGTTTGTCAGCGAGCACTGTTGCACAGATACATCCTCTTCTATCTGCATGTCTTACTCCTACTCCCTCACATGCTCCAGAACAGCTGTTCACGTGTTTTGTTATTCTTTTCTCTTGATAAGGATTTTCTTCGCAACATCCCAGGCAGCATTTTGTCATCCCAGCTGTGTGATAAGTGGGTCTCTGTGCTGGATCAAGGAAATACTGAAGAGAAGATAAAAAGCATACAAAGGTATGCTTATATTATATACTATATAATACTATTATAATATATACTTACATTCTCTGCATTCTTTTCCTATAAATGTGTATCCCAGAATGCGGAATCGCAAATATTCAACTTACAATTAATTTTTTAAAAATAGATGCTAAAAGTCACTGTGTATATGACAGAACATTCAAACTTATATACTTATATATACTTAAATGATTGTCTGTATGAGACAGTTTTATGACTCTTTTGTCCCACTTTTTTGCCTTTTGTGGATACCAGTAAATAAATTAATCGTTTTATGAAGAAAACAAAACCAACTTATATGATTTCGAAATACACTGTCCAGGACCTGAATTTCTTCCTGATATCAAATCCAAAACCACCTGCAGGGAACTTTGGAGTCCTGGATGAAAGGGAAGCTGAAAGCAGTTCCTCATATATTTCCCCTGATTCATATCAAATTTTAGTGATCATTCTGAAGCCAAGATGGAATTGTGTGTAAATGCTGGAGTAGAGTGACAAGGGAAGCCTCTACCCTTGCAGGTGGTATAAAACAGAAAGTAGGCAAAGTTTATGTCAGGGGAAGCAGAGCTTGGTATGCTAGCTGACCTCACACGTACTTACACACATATATACTTAAGGCAACTAGATAGCATGGAGAGACAGCTGAACTTTTTGGTTAAGTGAATAGTGAATTATCAGGGAGCTTAGATGAAGTACAGTTTCATGACATACCTTGTACTTGGTTCATTAGTTTGACAGAGTATTATTTTAATTATGTGTTATGATGTTTTCTGTTGTTCCAGAAAACTGTTCAGAGACACAGTGAGGGAAAGCAGCTGAGCAACAACATCTCTTTGACACGCTCCTGGCTTTAATTAGTGGACCATGTTACCCTTTTTCCTTAATTCCATTACCTTGACTTGTGTGTATCTATGGAAAATGGTCATTAACTTGAAGAATTACATTTGTGTATGTTTTCAGGTTATTAGAGCAGCTCCCCAGAGCTAATGTTGTTCTCCTGCGTTACATCTTTGGAGTGCTGCATGGTATAGAAATGAGATCTGAAGAGAACCAGATGAATGCATTTAATCTGGCTATCTGCATTGCACCTAGCTTGCTCTGGCCTCCTGTTTCCTCCACTCCTGATATAGAAAGTGAATTTATAAAAAAGGTAAGAGACACTTAAGTGTAGTTAAAAAACAAACCAACCTTCTTCCTGTTCAACCACGCTGTTGGTTACAAACATGAAAACAGTCAATACCTCTTCAGATCAGGACTTGTCCTCTTGTCAGGGCTCTAGAAACATTCATCTATCCATTCTCATAATCTGGAAGAGGGGGAGGGAGATCATAAAGCAATAGGCAGTGTATTAGTGAAGTGCTTCTCTCATCAAGAAGCTCTGTGTTGCGGTGACCTCTGAACAGGACAGAGTAGAAATGGAGAAGATGCATACGATGATGTATACCAGGACATTTTATCTGGGCCCAGAAGATTGAGAGAGTAGTTCCTGGCTGCCATCGTGGAATACAGTTTGCTCCTGTTCCTCATATGTATGGTGAGCTTGCCCTGAGTGCAATAATAGAAGATCTGACAAGACATCTCTCTCCCGTTGCTTTGTTGCAGATTTCCAGTCTGGTACAGTTCCTCATTGAGAATTGCTGCAGGATTTTTGGAGATGAAATTACCTCCCTCTTTGGAGAAATACTGATGACATGCAGCAGAGAGAACAGCTCAGGTAATACAGATTGATGTTTTGATCTCCTTAAAACAGCTAAACTTATCCATACAAAAGATCAGTCTATTCCAAGAAAAAATGCTGTTCCCTTATCATGCAGTGTTTCCAGATACTGCTGTTCTCTTTCCTCTGCCCAAAGTATTGGTCGTAAAAACTGATTCAACTTACCAAAGACCTGAGCCATATCACAGAATGCTCTTGCAAAGAATCTCTTGCTCCTATACCAGTCATTTGAGCCACTATGGTAAAAAAGAGGAAGGGGAAACAAAGAAAAAAATAAGAGGAAAAAAATCTGGAGAAAGCTTCATCTTAAGTCTAGAATTTTTGCCTCAGCCTCCAGAATATCATGAAGTCAGTGATCAACGATGGTTATAATGCAGCTGTCATGTCACACCATTATATTAGGATTGAAAGTGTCTATTCTTCACTATCAAAAGAGAGAGATCTCCATAATTTCAATGGGACATCCAGATCTTGCTACTAGCACAGAAAAATGATGGAACTGGTGACTGAAATTGTCTGACAGACTAGTTGATAGAACTCTCCAGATTATTCTTAGTACTCTTTTTCTCTCCAACTTTGTAATAGCATTAATTTTGACTGGAGTTTTGTGTCTCTCCTTAAAGTGTTTCTAAAGCAGCATTTTTTGTAAAGTAGATTTTGTCACAGCTGGCCTATACTGAAAGTGGTAATGGCACTTGCATTGGTATGCCAGACTGACTCAGTGTGCCTGTTCTGAACTCCTCATGCTCCAGGTGAGATTTGATGAAATCCAGTGAAATTTGGCCTGCCCCCTCCCCAGGAGTGAAGCACATGGGATCTGCTGTGCTGGGATGTGCTGGGACTGAGAGGTCAGACTCACAATAGGTTGTGACAGCTGAACAAGTTTTCAGGCATGCACTGAGGTGTGGTAACTGCCCGTGTGGGAACTGTGTCTGCTGCAAATGTGAGATAAGTCAGCTTAGAGTGGCCCGGAGCAGAAGAGATTTAATGTAATTCCAATTATCGCAAATACAGATTAGGACCCAGGTGTGCACTGCTGAGTGGAAATGAGGTGCCTGTTTAAACTGAGACTAAAACTCACTATGTTGCTCTTAAAAATATATTTTCTGGAAGAAAATTATTTTCTGGAAGACCATGGAAATATGAAGTATGCCCTGTTTTCTTCATTTGTCTAAAAGAAGGAAAGAAAGGTTAAATGTTATTTTCAATATTCAATAATGAAAAGAAAAATTCAATAATTACCGGTTAAATACATGTATGTATGTAAATAATTGTTTACAGCTAGATTATCTACTACTAAAGTTCACCACTTAAAAAAACCAAACCAAAACAAACCAAGGAAACCACAACAAAAAAACCCCCTAACCCTTAATTGTGCCATTATCCTGTATTTCTTGACTGAACTGCAGCTTAGCACTCACTTGATCTTTTCCATTTCAAAATCAAATAGTAATTTTTTCTGAAATTATTGGTATTTCTGCTTGAAGAATCTTTAAAGGGCAAATACTCCTGAAAGTAAAAGATACTTGCCAAAAAAAATAAAAAAAAGGAAGCTGCTTGTCAATAGGGTGGTTCAGTCACTGATGCGTTAACACTAGGTTTTGTCCTTGCAGATGTTGCTTCTCTCCATCAGAATGACTCTTCCTATGACAGCCTGGAAAATGAGGCGAATGATGAAGCTGACTCTTCTTCTAGTGACTGGATTAAAACCCGCGATCAAGATAACCGGAGCAGGGAGTCTGTCTTCACTCTGAGTGATGGTGATTCAGAGCAGACAGAGGTGGATGAAATCCAAAGCGAGACCAGATCAAAGCAGTTGACAATTTCTGTTGGCATGCACCTGAAGTTTTCATCGCAAGAAAACTCACAGAATGAATCTCGGTGCTCCGGCGCACTGGGTTTCTCCTCAGCCTCTACCTCAGGTGCTCTCAAAACTTCGAGGAGACACAGACGCTCCTCCGAGCCTGCAGTTGCCCTCCTCGCCTCCAGTTTTGTCCACATTGATGATGGTCATGAGAAGGCAACACGCAAAGCCAGCTGTGATGTTGTCCTGTCTCATGAAGATGAAGACTATCTCTGTCAGCTTCGGTCATTGCAGATGGAAAGGCAAAAGCTTAGCAATCGGAGCTTGATTATGGGGATTAATGTTGGTAAAAGTGACAACACAAATCAAAACGTTGAAAGGAAAGACCTGTCCCATTGTCTCCTGCCTCCAACACCAGAGGGATTAAATATTTGCTCAGGATTTAGCTGTTCTAGCCAGTCTTCTTCTGGGACATCTCCATCTGTGTCATCAATTTGCTCTCTGGACAGTGCTTTCTCGCAGTTTTCAGACCAGACTCTGTTTACCCTAAGTGAAACCTCCTGCCCTTTCGACAGCACTTTTCAATTGCTAAAGAAACACGAAGACGCTACTGCTGCTGCTGCTGTGGCTGGTGACTATTTGGTTACACCCACCAAGGTGCCACCATCTCCACAACCTACTGACGCTGTGGCTGAAAGGGGCTTGGTGGAGCCCAACAGCAGGCCAGCCCCCCTGAAACCTACTGATGGAGTTGATGGCTATTTGATTAAGCCTAAAATTCAGGCATTGCCTCTGAAAGTCACAGGAAGAGACAGTCTTCATGATCAAAGAGGAAGTCTAGAAAAACATTACAGCAATCCAAAGTTTAAAGAGACTGACCAAAGCTTTTTTGCAGAGGAATATTAATACTTAAAATAAACACCATAAAGAAAATGCCTTTGGTGTTAATGTGTGTTCATTTTAAGTTTAACATGCAGGTTGTTCAAATTTAATTGAGCAATCCCCAGACTCACAAGTTTTCTTTTTTTTAGGAAACTGTTTGAGTAATGTTCGACAAAAGCTTTGCAAGAACATTGTAAGAATAATAAAAATTGCTAATAAGCAAGCAAACAGAAGTCTCCTGAAAATCCAGAAAGGACCCAGGAGGTAACCAAGGCCAGTGCCCTGTTCTCTGACCCTGCCAGGGCAGCAGGGTGCCTGCTGGGCCTCTCCCCTTGACCACTCGAGTGTTGAGCCTTGAAGATGTGAGTCCCAGTCCTTTGTGCTTTTGATGTAGTGTGCAAAGTCAGCATAGATTCCATAACTGTGATATTATACTACTGTTCTGAAACTGATAAATATTCCTTTCATTGTCCTCCCAGGAGTAAGTGTATTGTTTTCTGTATGTTTATGTGGTATGTTTGATAGGTGTAGTTATTCCTTTCACACTGCAAAAGAAAGACAAAAGTAAGCTCAAAAATATGTAAAGGGAAATGCAGAAGCTTGTAACTAACACCCTGCAACTCTGTGTGTTTCATTTATTGTGCTTTGTTGGCTGTTCTGTTCATGTTTAAGTTGTGGATATTTTCTTAACATTGCTGTAAATGGCACTATGTATTATTGCAAGCAGAACACACGTAATTTTATTATGCAGCATCTAAAACATAGAATCATAGAATGGTTTGGGTTGGAAGAGACCCTAAAGATCATCTAGTTACAACCCTGCTGCCATGGGCAGGAACACCTTCCACTGGATCAGGTTTCTCAAAGCCCCATCCAACCTGGCCTTTAATACTTCCAGGGATGGGGCATCCACAACTTCTTGGGACAACATGTTCCAGTGCTTCCCCACCCTCATAGGAAAGAATTTTTTCCTAACATCTAATCTAAACCTGCCCTCTTTCAATTTAAAACCATTGCCCCGTGTCCTGTCACTGTCTTCCCATATATAAAAAAAAAAATCTCTCTCTTTTTTATAAGCCCCCTTAAGGTACCAGAAGGCTGAAGTGAGGTCTTCTGAAGCCGCCTGTTCTTCAGGCTTAACAACCCCAACTCTCTCAGCATTTCCTCATAGAAGAGGTGTTCCTTTGCTCTGAGGTTCTTTGTGGCCCTCTTGTGGACGCCTCTAACTGGTCCATGTCTTTCCCGTGCTGGGGACCCCAGAGTTGGATGCAGCACTCCAGCTGGAGTCTCACCAGAGAAAAGTAGAGGAAGAATCCCCTCCCTTGCCCTCTGGCCACACTGCTTTTGATGCAGCCCAGGATATAACTGGCTTTCTGGGCTGAGAGTGCACATCATCGCCTTGTGTCCAGCCTCTCATCCACCAGCACCCCCAGGGTCTTCTCCATAGGACTGCTCTCAAGGAGTTCTTCTCCCAGTCTGTGCCCATATCTGGGATTGTCCCAACCCAGGGCAAGGTGCAGCACCTTGCACTTAGACTTGTTGAACCTCATGAGATTCCCATGGATCCACTTCTTGAGCTTGTGTGTAGGTCCCTCTGGGTGGCATCCCGTCCTTCTGTTGTGTCAACTGCACCTCTCAGCATCATGTCATCTGCAATATTGCTGAGGTTGCACTTGATGATCTCACTGTCTGTGTCATCATATAATATATTAAAGTGATGCATTATCTAAATGCTTTGAGTTTGTATAATATATCCTGTTAAATTTTGCTATTATATATGTTCTGAATAAAATGTGTATTTTTGTACTTGCAAAAAAATGCTGCTAATTTTACAAGTTCTGTTTTGTTGTTACAGCACTGGTATTGATATGTATATGCATTCAATGCTATCTATTAAATATTATTTGTTATGTCATAAATTCAATTTATATTCTGTGTAATTTTTTTTATCTGTCAGTTCTACAAGCTATTGCTGAAGCAAAAGTCCCAGTGATGCCACTGCAAATCTTGCGTGAGGAGGGACTGAAGCATTTTTCTTCTGTTTTGGGTGGCATAATTGATACTGCATGCCATCATCCTGTGGACTTTTGTAAATTATAGTAACAGTCAAGCAAGAATTCCTACCCTTTTTTTCTTCATCTAGAGGTAGGAGGGTGCTTTCAACTTTAACTAAGGGATGCAGTTAACAGTATGAAGGTGAACAGAGATCTTTTGGGATAATAGATATTACAGTCAGGAGCAAGGAAAGGAGGGGAGCAAGTCACTGGATGAAATCAAGATTTATTCTTTAAATTTAGCAGTGTTATAGAGAAAGCAAGAATGGCAGGGATAAACTAAACACATCTGAATGTGTGTGCATGTATATAGTGCTTCTGAAATTGCACTGATTGTTTCCTTAGCTTTCTGTTTTCAAAAGCCCTCCCCAGCTAAAATTAATACTGGCCGGTACTGGAGTTTCAGATCCTGTTCTGCTTAACTATGCTGTCCTAAAGGTGCTGATGTTCCTAAGTCACTCACATGTCTGAAAAATGTAAACACTGTCCAGTGCACTAAGCTGCTTCCAAGTATTATCAACATAACAGGCTTTTAGCTCTATATGAAACAGAATGGATACTCTCCAGCTGATGCAGAAGAGGGAGGAAAGTCTGTTAACAAGGTTAGAAATACCTTTGCTTGAAAATATAGAATCAGAAGGCTATTATTTTGGGCTCTAGTCCTGCAAATGTTGTAAGCAGAGCTGCATTTGTGGAGACCCACGTAATGCAATAAGCCATCATGCGCTTAGAACAATACCAGCATGTATAATTGTGTGCAGGCTCAAAGACTTGACTGCAATTTGTTCTTCTTTTTCACATTCAGCTATTTTAATGAAAACAGTACTATGCAGAATCTGATCTGTAATAGTCACCTTCTGAAGGTAAAATACTTTGTGTACATTTTGAGACCTGTCATCTAGTAGCCCTACATATGCACCTCCTTCAAAACAAACAAAAAAGATGCTATTTTGAAATAAAACAGCTACTCTGCATTTCTTTTTGAAACCGTAAAAAGCGTATTGCTGAGCTGCCAAGATTACATCAAGTAGCAAATACTGATTCATTGCAACAATAATAAAGCTTTAGAAAATCTCTAGTCTCTGCAAAATAAATGTTCTGTCCTACAAATGGTATCTTCCAGCAAGTCATTTATCTCTGCTAGTCTGAGGTAGGAGTATATCCAAGTGTGCTTCGATGTGAAACGAATTATGTGTCTGCTTTTGAGCTGTAGCTAATGCTAGAGTGCTTTCAGCTTTAAATATATGGCGAACAAGTTGGATGTAGACCCAGCACAATTTAAAATGCACTTACAAGACGTACACCCTGCTGCTGCATGAGGCATGTTCTGTGATGAGCACAAAAAAGAGCGCTGATGGAGAAGATCACTGTCTGCAATGCCTCAGTGAAGGAATTAAATGCTGTTAAGATCCAAAATGAATTGTAGTGAATGTTTTCAGAGTGTCAGATGTGACTCTAAACACTGCAGAAAGCAGCAGCTTTAGGTATGTTATCGTTGGGAAGCCAACAATTTAGTGTACAGGGGTCCCAGCTCATTTCCTCCCCTGGGCACCCTGGTGGGCTGGAATGGAACCTTGGGTCCAAGTAATATTAAAAATAAAGTTTTGTAACTTTTTTTATGTCTTTGCTGATGGCCTCTGTGGTGGGTTACCCTTTCTGGATGCCCACCAAAGCTGTTCTAGCACTCCCCTCCTCAGCCAGTTACAAGTGATGCACCACAGAGGAATGTAGCTGGAAAGCTGCCCAGCGGAAATGGACCTGGGGAATGCTGGTTGACAGTGTCTGAACATGAGCCAGCAGCATGCCCAGGTGTCCAAGAAGGTATCCTGGATTGTATCGGCACCGTTGTCCATCTCCCCCCCCTCCAGTACCCAACCCTTTGTTGGTTTCCCGTGTCCAGAAAACCTTAGTATGCATAAGGAACTAGGCTCAGTGACACCACTGGACATCCTCACGCGCTCACAGTGTTTCGAGGAATCATCTAGAGGGAGACTCAAGGCATCACCTACACTAGGTGCTTCTCCTTCCTCAAGGGCTAATATGGCAAGAACCTGAGCAAGCAGCTGCAGCTGCATTGAGCCTCCTCCTTGGCATTTGTGCAAGCCCACTTCCCCATGGAAGAGTCCTTTGCTCCTACCAAGTGTAAGAGGCAGTGGAGCCTGATGTCTGCCAGCTAAGCAGAGCCCTACATAAACATCACGGGACGGGAGCCAGCTTTCTCATTCACAGATGTGCTTGCATGATTTCACTTACTCTCAAGATTAGTTACTGATGTCTCTGTATTGAGGCCACTGTCAAGCTAAACTAATTGACCCACTGGTGTCCAAAGGGGGAGACCCTTTGGTTAAAGGTGTTGAATATTTCTGTTAGGACATGGTTGCCACACAGGACCTAAAGGTTTTGGACATCATTTATGTCTTATAAATATGTACAATGCAATCTGCAATGATTTTTCCTCGACACTGGGTTTGCTCCAGGCCCTATTTTGTCGGTTTCATTGTGGCTTCACTGCAAATGTCAGCAGTTCCTTGAGGACAAGTACTCGGTAGCTGCTGCCAGTTGCATTAAGTTAAATATTTCAGAATTTAGACATTCTGTGACCCTACATTGGAGAGGTGTTTTCAGTACAGAAATTGTTTCTCTGCACTTGATTCTCCTATCACAAACTATTTCCATCAACATGCTACAAACCTACTCTCAGGCGCAGAAGTAATTCTGATGTGACCATTGAAGGCAAGGCTGCCTCCTCTTCCTCCTTCTCCTCCTCCTGGATCTGGAGAACATCCATAGGATTCCCTGCTGCCCTGAGGACTGGGATGAGCAGAGGGGGCTGGGTGGTCTACCAGTCCTGATGTCAACCAGGAAGGGAAGGGACAGGACTGTGCTGCCAACGTGCACAGCTGAGGCTACACAATCCTGGCTGAGAGTTTAGACAATGAGCCCTGACAGTAAGGGCTGATGAAGGAAGAGTGACCTGTGACCTGCTGGTGATTAAAGCTTTATCCCCAGGGATCAGAGTGTGATGCTGCCTGTGAGATCCCAGTCACCCCACCTGCTCCAGGGAGCCCCAACCCATTCCCTTGGACTGCCAGAGAAGTGAGGTCAGCTAGGGGTTCCCCCACCAAGGTACTAGTGGGGCTGCCCCTCCCCAGAAGACCCTGCAGAATGGCAGGGATCAGTGCTTGCGGGGGCACAGGACTCAGGGGGCTGGAGGGGAAGTATTTGAGGGCATTGGACAACCTCTTAGAAGGTGTTTTAAGGGGGCTGTAGGAATGTACAGGACTTGTTATGGGATGTTTAGGGTAAGGATCAAAGGCAGGGAAAAGGAGGGATCAAGGTGGACTGGGGAGGAACCCACATGAGAAAACAGAGGGAAAAGGGGATAAAAAGGGACTGGTCTGGGTGACAAGTGACAGCTGGTAAGTACACACTTCTCTAACTGAGCCCTGTACCACATCACCACAGCCTGCCCTAGAGTCTTACTAAATATTTGTATGTAATAACACAATTAATTACTTATTACTAATAATAATTACTCTTACATTCTCTCAGTTAACCTTCTGTGTGGGCACACACTCTATTCTGAGCACCTGTGAGAGACCACCAGCAACCTTCAAGCTGGATGAGTGGACAGCAGCACTTGAGCCCGGTGCTGGCAACTGGAATGGAATCCCAAACCTCAGAGGCTCGAGGGTGCCACTGCCAGCACCTGGGAAAACTGAGGCCTGAGGGAGGCCAGTTCTGGGACAGACTCTCTCAGTAGCAGAGAGACCCATTTTCCACGTGTCAGTACAGATT